AAATGGAATCATAGAATTCTCTCATAGAGCTGCGGAACTAACGACTCTATTAGAAAGTAGTATTAGCAACTTTTACATGAATTTTCAAGTTGATGAGATCGGTCGAGTGGTCTCAGTTGGAGATGGGATTGCACGTGTTTATGGATTGAACAAGATTCAAGCCGGGGAAATGGTTGAATTTGCCAACNACTTTTACACGAATTTTCAAGTTGATGAGATCGGTCGAGTGGTCTCAGTTGGAGATGGGATTGCACGTGTTTATGGATTGAACGAGATTCAAGCTGGGGAAATGGTTGAATTTGCCAGCGGTGTGAAAGGAATAGCCTTGAATCTTGAGAATGAGAATGTAGGGATTGTTGTCTTTGGTAGTGATACTGCTATTAAAGAAGGAGATCTTGTCAAGCACACTGGATCTATTATGGATGTTCCTGCGGGAAAGGCTATGCTAGGGTGTGTGGTCGACGTGTTGGGAGTACCTATTGATGGAAGAGGGGCTCTAAGTGATCACGAGTGAAGAGTTGTCGAAGTGAATGCCCCTGGGATTATTGAACATAAATCTATNTAAGCGATCACGAGCGAAGACGTGTCGAAGTGAAAGCCCCCGGGATTATTGAACGTAAATCTGTGCACGAGCCTATGCAAACAGGGTTAAAAGCGGTAGATAGCCTGGTTCCTATAGGACGTGGTCAACGAGAACTTATAATCGGGGATCGACAAACTGGAAAAACTGCTATTGCTATCGATACCATATTAAACCACAAGCAAATGAACTCAAGGGCCACCTCTGAGAGTGAGACATTGTATTGTGTCTATGCAACGGTTAAACAGAAATGCTCAACTGTGGCACAATTAGTTCAAATTCTTTCAGAAGCGAATGCTTTGGAATATTCCATTCTTGTAGCAGCCACTCCTTCGAATCCCGCTCCTCTGCAATTTTTGGCCCCATATTCTGGGTGTGCCATGGGGGAATATTTTCGTGATAATGGAATACACGCCTTAATAATCTATGATGATCTTAGTGAACAGGCGGTGGCATATCGAAAAATGTCATTATTGTTACGCCGACCACTAGGCCGTGAGGCTTTCCCAGACGATGTTTTCTATTTACATTCCTGTCTCTTAGAAAGAGCGACTAAACGATCGGACCAGATAGGCGCAGGTAGCTTAACCGCCTTACCCGTCAGTGAAACACAAGCTGGAGACGTATCGGGCTTTATTCCCACCAATGTGGTCCCCATTACTGATGGACAAATCTGTTTGAAAACAGAGCTCTTTTATTGCAGAATTAGACCTGCTATTGATGTCGGCTTATCTGTCAGTCGCATCGGGTCTGTCGCTCAGTTGAAAGCTATGAAACAAGTTTGCGGTAGTTCAAAACTAGAATTGGCACAGTATCGCGAAGTGGCCGCCTTTGCTCAATTTGGGTCAGACCTTGATGCTGCGACTCAAGCATTACTCAATAGAGGTGCAAGGATTACAGAAGTACCGAAACCAACCACAATATGCACCACTTCCAATTGAAAAATAAATTTTAGTCATTTATGCAGCTGTCAATGGATTCTGTGATCGAATGCCAGTAGACAGAATTTCTCAATATGAGAGAGCCATTCCAAGTAGTATAAAATCAGAATTACTACAATCCCTTTTTAAAAAGGGGGGGTTAACTAACGAAAGAAAGATGGAACCAGATGCATTCTTAAAAGAAAGTGCTTTGCCTTTCCTATAATGCAAGGAATAATGGACTTAGATCACCTTTTTCTTCCTCATTCTAATTTTATTTTCGTATTTTATATATATATATATATATATATATATATATATAATAAAGATAAGGCAAGGCCCTGTTTCAGCAATGGAACAGGGGAGGGGGAGTGGGAAGTAACCCCCTTTTTTTTTTACTTTCAGTCTGGCTTTTCTACATGGAGGAGAAAGCGACAGATACGTGGGCAAACCTATCTTGCGCACATATCCATGTAGAACTCGACATACAGGAGGCTCCCCATCAATTTGACAACTCCTAGTTGGAGAAAAGAGTTCAATAATACAGCACACACAGGTTTTGGACTATAAATAGCTGTCGTTCAAGTGCAACCATTGTCATGAATACGGTCGGGAGATGATGCCTAAACAAAACCAACCTATCCAACTACTAAATTCCAATCAGGCAGAAGTCAACCTGATCAGCCTTTACTTTTGAATTTTCCATGGAAGAAAGAATGATTGTTAGTCTCAACAACTAGAACATAATCCCACTGAGAATATAAGGAATTTAGATGTTCCATTTGACACAGAGGGGAAGCCAACCTAGGGAGGTGACACAAAGATGGATTTGTGAATGAGAAATACAAGTTTACTATATTCATTGGAATCAATGGTAGAATGGCAAATTGTTCAAGTGGGCTGTTGGGCGTAATCGTAAGAAACACTTTTCATTTCATCCCTGCAGTTCCGCTTCTTGCTATAAAAATGCAGAAAGACTTGTCGAAAATCGCCGGTTAGGTTGTCTTTACCAACCAAAAGCCAAGAAAGGCATGACAGTCTTTGGGCATTGCTGGGGCTAAGTCAAGTTTGGGCCGAGTTAAGTAAAGACTGGCTACCTAGAAAGATCCCTCACTACAACACTTTCTATATATCTGTCTCCATTATCGGCCGCATGTTCTAGTTATGAATCGGAGATAGAACAATGGGGAGGTTACAATTTGAAATCCGTTATTACTGTTGTTTTTGATGTCGAAACGATCTTTATACATTGGCAACGAGCTTCATGTTGGTAGAGAGGGGCGTTTTCTTGGAATTAATTCATAGGCGCTTTCAATTAGTTATATTTCTATAAATAAACAAATATAAAAAGCGTGCGATACGCAGCATCAACCAATGGAAAAACGTAGTCACGACCTATGCTATAATGCATCCCCAAAAGCCCTCCACCCCACCAAAAAGTAAACAACATCGTGTGCCTGCTCATGACACATAGGACTTGCTGCCATTCTTTTCTTGCTGTTCGTGATTACTCAACAATGGATGGCGAACGAATTTCGACAAAGGAATGGGTTGAAAAAGCCTTCCCCCTCGTCTTCTACCGCTGCGATGGGCGTCCCCCCATTGGCAGCTCCTACGGAGATCGCTCCGAAGAACTACGCGACGGTTGTGGCTGATCGTCCTAAACCGACCAAGACGAAACCTGTGAAAAACCTTCGATTTTTTGAGGTGAGTCTGCACTATATTTTCTTTTGAGGAAACTGAGGTTTGAAACCTGACGAAAAAATCTCGATATTGCTTGGTGGGGCATTTCCTCTGAGGCCGCCCTCTTTTACCTGTCGTTCAGGAGTTCATTCGCAAGAACTGGCGTACCAAAGGAGTCGATCACTCTGTTAGATCCAAGGCACGTCTTCATCAAGCTCTCGAACAAAGAAGATATGCACCAAAAAAGAGAAGTTTTTGATTGAGGGATTGATGTTTAGGGTTTTTTGCTAGAGCCATGATTTTCGTCTCCATAATGGTGATCCAATGCATGCGCCTATTGGGGCGACCTCATCTGCCTATTGTCTTTTTCTTTGAGTTTCACCTGTTTTGTATCGTCTTTACTTCTGAAATTGGCCTGACCCTTAATGGTCCTACGAAGCATGTCTCACGCCCCAACGTAGCTAGGGTTTGTGTAGAAGTCGACCTTCTCAAGGAAAACCTCCCAAATCGTGTTTGGATTGGATCTACTGTGTATGGATCACTAGCAAGAAATTGTTTCTTTTTGAATACCTAAGTTCTGCACGCATTTCAGACGACAAGGTCATGCCCGTCACTGAGAATGGCCTATGTTCCAAGAACCAATGCTACCAACCCTTTTTTAAGAGCAACACCTACCACAGAGAACGATCCTATAGAACGTAAGAGAAGGAAGGGAATTTCACATTCACGCTATGACCAATGTTTTCGATCTCTCCATCACAGAATAGGCTGCAACGAAGCGAAGTCAATTACACATTTACACATAAAGAAGGGGAAGCTTGTAAGGGGTATCCTTTGCCCCAAATCCCGATCTTTTAAAAAGTAACACGTTCCCGGATATCCTCGTAGAAGGTGTGTAGCATTTAGGCCACGGTTGCAAGTGTTCTGTAAGGAGCTGTGGGACTAATAGAACAGGCTCTTTGCCACGTGGGCTGCTGTTAGCATGTTAGTGGCCTCTTACCTGACCCTTCTTACTGGATTTCCTGTCTTTCCTGATGGTGAATAAGCACTGTGCAGATGAATTAGCATGTAACTCGATATTTCATAAAACTAGTAGAATAGAAAGATTAGCTCTTCCTTCCTAAGCAGCAAATCAAATAATGGATTGAAGAATAGTCGTAAGGCTGCATTGATTGAATAGATGACTAAGGCTTAGAACTGATAGCAATTGAATCAGCTGTTGATGTAATAGAAGTAGAAGGTCTTTCTGCAATATCCCTTGCTCTCGAACATGCTCTTGTCGCAATTGAATCTGAATACCTTATTTTTTGGGTATTGGCAGTGAATCAAATAGACTAGGTAATTGTTCCATTAGGAGCTCTTGTCTTATAGAAGTAACCGGTGTTGGATAGAAGACTATTTTAGTTGTCGGTGCTACGGCTTGAGAAGAAGCTACACATTCATCTTACTCGAGAAATGACTTTTGAATCGAGAGATTTTTTACCACATATTCCTATTTAGGAACTTCACTGGGAGTAACTGCACTAAGGCAAATTTGACAGCATTCGATTTTGTACAGTTAATCTTAGTAGACGCTTTTGGGGCATTCTCCTTCATGAAGATGGCATCAATCCGATGTGGGACTTGAGGAATAGAATACGGGGATTTCTTTGGAGAGGAATAACTGAGATTTTAAGTATTCTTCGTCCTTTATCTGCATGTAGTTGACAGGTGGGATGGACTTTTGCTTTTGGGATTGAACTCAGGCTCGCAACTTCACTAAAAGCAAGGGAAAAAAGTGACATCATATATAAAGAAAAGGACTTGAATGCAAGCTCCTATGGAACTGTTTTCGAGTTTGGTGGAATTGAATCAAGAGTACCACTTACAATTGAATCAAGAACCGCTGCTAGAAAGGGAGACCAAAATCTTGGGTTCTTCCACACCGAGATGTAAACCAACCCAACCCCTTGAGTCGATATCTGGTTCCCACCTTTACTGCAACTGTAGAAGATAGTTCAGTAGATGCAAAGTTTTAGTTCCTTTCAGCTGTCACAAATATACTTCCTGACTTCTAAAATGTAGGGGTTCAAGTCGAAACACCCTTCCCTTTGATTCACTTTTCACTTTCGTACCCAATATCCCTACCAGTTTAGTATCAGACGATTAGACTTGCTACATCCATAAAGTGGGGGCAAGTCAGTCTTTAGCGTCCTACCGGGATCACATCCTCCACGCCTTTCCTCCTTGTTGCACTCATTCTTTCTATCAAACCTAGCAAGAGCTTGACTCCTATCTATCAAGGTAGTCGATCAAGTTGCTTTTGCACAGGAATATGAGACAAATTTATTTTTCTATTTCATGGGGCTAAAGAAGATGCAATTTCTTTTGCACTTCATATGTTATTTAATCAGAGACGAACTAGAAGCTCTATTTCTGATGAACCCTAGTGGGGAATATCGGGATTATTCTTTTGCTTCCCTTCTTTCCAGCAGCTGCAGCAGAAGAAGAGGAATTCTTTTTCTTAGTCTTGGTCTAGCAGATTAGTACCTTCGAAAGCGTATTACTAACCTCTTTTTTGGTTGCCCAGAAGCTCTTCGAACCCCTTTCCTTTGAAGCGAGGTCAAGCCTCCTCTTTATCTCCCTACCGGCTGAGCCCCTTCATACCTCTCCCTTCTGTAGAGTTAGTTCCTCTATCTCCCGAACCCAAGAAAGGAGAGAAATAAGGGGATGCTTATAGCCTGATGATTTCATTATTCCCTCACCGCAGATTTCAAAAAACTTTTAGTCAAGTTTCCTTACCTTAAGCCTAGATCTGTGCTCGGCTTGATGCCATCTCTGCCCCCTTTCCCTACCAGAGTCTCATCTTCTGACCGAAACATCCTTTGCGATAAGAAGCCGATCCGAGAATCCCATTAAACTTGATCCCGATGCTTATTTTGTTGAGGATCCCGATTCACTTTCTTCGATCTTTCGATACCTTGACCCTCACTTTGAAGAAAAGAAAGCTGCTACTCTCTTCCTTCTGAGTCGAATAGCTAAGCACCTTCCCGCCTCTAAAGAAGAAGGAGATCTGGCTCTTGCCTTCTTGTTATTCTCCGACTTAGTACCTATGAACTTCCTTCACCCGTATCCTAATGAGTCAAGCATCTCCCATCAACCCATATTTTTAGAAGATTGCCTTCTTTCAACTTTCAAAAGATGCGTTAGTTTCCTTGAGAATCTATAAGTAGATAATTTTAAGTAGCAGTTCAGAAAAGAAGTTCACAGTTCAATTCCGAGACTTAAGACTAGTTCGTTCCTCGGTTTCCTGGTACATNAAAGTTCAATCAAGAACAAGAGGAGTAAACTCAACTCAACTCACAATCAAAATTCATTGTATATTATTTCNTCTGTCACTTCTTGAATACTTAAGTTTTCATATTTTTCTCCGCTTTTCGAATAGATTTCGACGAGGACTGAGTTCCGAGGGTTCACTCCAAACCTTAACTCAAGAACTCCGATTTATGTTGCTAAAGCATATTTTTTTATTGAACCTCCATCTTCTGATTCAGTTTAAGTGGAATCTCTTGTAGTTGCTCTTCCGCTACAAAGAGCTGATTCTCAAAGTCGATCTATCTAGTCTGGTTCTNAATAGGAATAAATAAAGACTAAAATTTGTAACCCTTTCTCTAAAAAATGCCCTTGACTGAATAGTGTCACGAATACTATAGCATGAACAGTACCATGCTATAATACTTATTCTAAATCCTAGTTCAAATAAAATAATAATACATATGTGGGCTAAGCATCCTCAAACCCACTTAATCTAAACTAATAATAAAAATTATTTAAATAAATTGAAAGGCTTAACAAAACANTGTGCTCGGCTTGATGCCATCTCTGCCCCCTTTCCCTACCAGAGTCTCATCTTCTGACCGAAACATCCTTTGCGAGAAGAAGCCGATCCGAGAATCCCATTAAACCTGATCCCGATCCTTATGTAGTTTGTTGAGGATCCCGATTCCCTTTCTTCGATCTTTCGATACCCTGACCCTCACTTCGAAGAAAAGAAAGCTGCTACTCTCTTCCTTCTGAGTCGAATAGCTGAGCACCTTCCCGCCTCTAAAGAAGAAGGAGATCTGGCTCTTGCCATCTCGTTATTCTCCGGCTTAGTACCTATGAACTTCCTTCGCCCGTATCCTAATGAGTCAAGCATCTCCCCTCAACCCATATTATCAGAAGATTGCCTTCTTTCAAATTTCAAAAGATGCGTCAGTTTCCTCGAGAATCTATAAGTAGATAGTTTAAGTAGCAGTTCAGAAAAGAAGTTCACAGTTCAATTCCGAGACTTAAGACTAGTTCCTTCCTCGGTTTCCTGGTACATAAGAGACGGACTTCTGTCACTTCTTGAATACTTAAGTTTTCTTACTTTTCTCCGCTTTTCGAATAGACTTCGACGAGGACTGAGTTCCGAGGGTTCACTCAAAACCTTAACTCAAGAACTCCGGTTTATGTCGCTAAAGCATATTTTTTTATTGAGCCTCCATCTTCTGATTCAGTTTAAGTGGAATCTCTTGCAGTTGCTCTTCCGCTACAAAGAGCTGATTCTCGAAGTCGATCTATCTGGTCTGGTTCTATCCTTTCCACTATTGGAGTGGAATCCCTTTTTCTAGTAATCCCCCTTTTTTTTTGGCTTATTCCATTCGATCTTCTACTTGGTTAACCCATACCCCTTTTAGTAATATCCTTCGTTCTTTATCCGGCTTCGGTTGAACTGGCAACCTACTTTCCACTTTCCAACGGTTGAGTACTTGAGTTCGTAACCTGATCCTCTTCCCTGACTTTGCTTTGAAAGTCAGCCACTTCCTTTCCTGCTTCAGTTTCTCTTTCAGGGTAATCCTCCTGCAGCTTATTTTGAAGCCTATGTTCCGATTTTGGGTGATGAGTTTCCTGCCACTATTTCATCTTTTTGTCTACTTTACTATTTCAAAGTCAAGCCTACATACACCTCCTGTCCTTCTACCTCCTCCCTGGGTAGTCAANATTGGCCCATCTATACTTGCAAAGGATCTTTAAGAATAGGCCCACCTTGGCTTTCATCATTGTGCTTGTGCCAATTNGTCCTTCTACCTCCTCCCTGGGTAGTCGAGTAAGTACCACACACAAGGCAAAAGCTCTTGCTTGATCCGCCCTCCAAGGCCAAGGGCTACTGATTGTGCTTGTGCCAGCTACGTCTTTCCTCTACCTAAAGGTAAGGTATTGTGCCACCTCAAACTCAAAACTATATTTCTCAAACTCAAAACTATATTTATTACCCCTCCCCTCTTTCTACGGTACCGGAGGATCAGTTGCTAGAGAAGAGGAATCCTGTAGATCGACGGAATCTCTGTTCTCACCCCCTCTCGCTAAAGAAAGGAACTAGTTAGGATGTACCTTGGTATTGGTCCTCAACCCAGCGGAAGGGAAAGGCAGTGAAGAGGCTCCGGCTCCAAGGTCCAGCTTCTTTCTCTTTTGCTTAGATGGCACCTTGGCGAGGAATCTTTGAACCTAGAAAAACTAAGAGCTTCGTCCCTCCTCTCCTGTGAGGAAAGACCCACCTTGAGTTCAGTGGCTGCTTAGTAGAGCAAGGTTTAGTTCTTTTCTTCCTAAGGGCTTCACTGGTAAAGAATCCAAAGAGTTTCACTCAGTCATATACCCTCTCTACCAAAATCCAGATTCTCTGCTTTCGGGTTACCCCATTACCACTAAAGCTCGATATTGATCTTGATCCCTATCCTTTCTTTGATTAAAGAAGGAGCCTTCACTCCGCCCCAGCTACCTTTACCCTCTTTAGGAAGAGTTCTCGTATTGTGATTGATCCTTTGGTGTATCACTCTCAATCATCTCCCACATAGATGTATAAGAGGGTACAAATTATTTACCTTTAATCGATCTAAGATGAAGAGGTGCTTCCATACACATTAAGATATAAAGAAGCACATTTAGGACTAAAGAGATTCAAGGAGAAAAGGTGCTTCAAAATTAGAAGTAGGAGACCTCCATACTTTGGATACCTTACATCCAAAGGTCCAATTTTATTCCAGACCTTCCCCAAAGGACATAGGTTTGACTCTTTTATAATAATTATAAGTTTTTTAGCTTTTTTAAGCTTAATCGTTCTTTTATTCCAAGGCTTGTAATCTCAAACTTCTAGCTCAACTAAGAAGACGACNTTTTAGCTTTTTTAAGCTTAATCTTTCTTTTATTCCAGGGCTTGTAACCTCAAACTTCTAGCTCAACTAAGAAGAGGGCTTCATTATATTCACACTAGCAGTTAGGTTTGGAAAGCAACCCTTAAAGAAAGAACTGCATCATGGCCATAAGTTGGGGCAAATATAAGGTTACCCACCACCCGAGGGATAATAATATTTTTCCTATCAGGCTTTGTCGAGTTAGCTTCAAAGCTTTGCTCCTTGTATTTCCTATCCTAACGCTTTGCTTTCTTTGTTTGCATCTGCTGTTGGATAATCCAAGCCAAGTCGACCCTCCCTTTTCCTCCCCAGCTAATTTTATAAGAGAACAACTTTTAAGGTTGAGTTAGCAAGTCCCAGGGTATGCCCCGTCCTCTGTATTAATTGAGAATCTTTCATCTTCTCTCCCTACGGTTTATCCTATACAGATGCTCTGTCTTTGGCTGAGCCCTCGCTCTCCTTCCTTTTCGATAGCTCCTTCCTCTGTTGAGTTAGCCACGTCTTTCTCACCCTTCGCGGAATATGGCACCTCCTTTGAAAGAGAATCGAGATCGAGTTAGCACCTACTTTCAGTCGAGCTTCTTTCCAGTAAGGCATATCCAAAAGACCAGTTCCCTACCCCCTACTTTCCTGTGATGAAAGAAAAGGGCTTTATGCCCCGGTTTAGTACTCGTGGAAAAGAGCCTTTGCTTCGGTCGAATTCAAATACCCCACTCCCTTTCTAGTTCTTTTATAATAAAGATTTTATTGAGGAATCTCCTTGTTACGAATCTACTGAAGGAGAATCTTTGGTATGAGTCGAGCTTTATTCAAACGTTGTGTCAGCTGATTAACCCTATTTAAGGCATAATTTAATAGGTAAATTGTGTTAGTTGAATAAAGTTAAACTAGTCAAAATAAATCAAATTAGAATTAGTGTGTGAATAAAGGATAATGCATTAATTGTTATTTTTTTCAGAATTTTGTGCGTCAAAGCTACAAACTACTTGGGAGCCAATTGCATTAAAGTTACAAACTACTCGGGTGCCAATTATCAAAACTCAAAACAAAGGGGGATCANTTGTTCTATGTACATAATCTTGTTTGTGTATAACTTTGTTTGTATATATTTTGTTTTACGTGGAGGCGAAACGACCGAAACCGACTTGTTAGACAAAATATGGCCCCTACCATGAATATTGACCAAGAACAACCCCAGGATGCGGGTGACAATTTTGACAATATAGGTGCAAATCCAAATATCCAAAGGGAAGCAAATCCAAATGTCCAAAGGGGTGGGGGACCACAAGAACCCCAAATACCCAATCCAAGAATGAATTTTCCCCCTCCCGTGAATGAGGAGAATAATTTTCAAATGGATCCCCCGGTGAGGTCAATGAGGGATTTCCTACAACCAACACGAAGCACCACACCATCATGCATCCTCCTTCCGGTCCAAGCTCATCTTTTCATAGTTAAGCCAGGGATGTTGCAACTAATTCTCACGTTCAACGGATTTGAAACTCAGAGCCCCTATTCACACATAAGGGATTTTGAGGAAATGGTTGCAACCTTCCTCCCCAATCATGGGATGGAAGAGATAGCTAGAATGAAATTGTTTCCTTTTTCCCTGAAAGACAAGGCAAAAATGTGGCTTATTTCCTTAAGGACTCGAACCATCACATCGTGGA